AGGCTTGTTTTGTTAGTGGCTGGAGATTTTACAATATTGTTTTGCTAAGCTGGAGTAAAAAATGGGATGTGAGAGAACATTCGATATTGATTTAATCTTGTGCTTCTACAGGTAACTTCAGATTTGATGTTGATTTCTAGCACTGAGCACTTTTGAAAGTCCCTTCCTGAAAGAGTGAAATTAAATATTATACTGTTAATTTTCACCACCCATGTATATAGATTAGTATCTGTAGAGCTGAAAATGTCCATAATGGAAGCATGCCTATAAAAACCTGAGCCTTTACAGCATGCTAATGGCTTTCCGTTAGGTCAGATTAATGTTTTCTGCTTGCTGAAAACAGGTATTTAGCAACACTGCTTTCAGTTTGTTAGGAATAAATAACTGCTGGACCAATTGCTTCACCCTTGGGAATAAATCTGCACTTCCAGTGCTTGCTATTAAATCACTTCTGCAGGATGATTCGTAACATCTGCAGATTCCAATCTGAGGATGTGGGTGAGATCCAGCAGCAAATAGATCCTCCTGCATTTGCACTGCTGTGACTCAGAGAGGTGACAGCTTCTGCCAGCGCTCGTGGTGCCACTGCCACATCACTGCAGGGCACTGCGCGCTCCCATGAAGCTGACGGGCTGGACGTTAACCAGTGTCCCCCACCATCCCAGTTTGGAACAGCAGCAACACCAGCCCACCACATGCAGGGAGGTTCTGGGCTGTGCAGAGGATTCATTGAAGGGCATCAGCAGTGAGGGATCCAGGAATTAAAGTTATGTGGGGACCTGGTGTCAGAAAGCTGCTTAGGCAGAACTTTCGGTGACATGGATAAAATAACAAGGATAAAGTCTTGTGGTTTTTCCATTTTGAAAAGGTGTAGGAAATTAATTGAAGCCAGATTATGTATATTTGCATATGTTTGCACCTGTGTCTTTTTCACAGCAGCAGAGTTTTAAATGGTTGTTGACAGTTGACTGGACAGACTTCAGTTGCTAGAGAGGGGCTATGGAGAGGTTCCTCCCTTGGTGTTTCTCTTCATCCCAGATTTTTTAATTAGTGCTTCAAGTCATGTCAATACCCATATTGTTTGCAACCTACGTATTCTCTCCTTATAGATCTTCAAATAGCAAGAGACCCATTATCACATCTCTTCCTCCTACAGCCCTATTATTCTCATCTGAGAAATACTACTTGAAACTTCTATTAATAGTAAAGAGGTACATTTGTACTGTATTTTTCATGAAGAGGTTTCTTAAACATGCTTTATAACTTCTACTAATGCAAATTTATATATGAGGGTGTTGGATCCAGGGCTCCTCAGAGCTATGCTTCCTAATTGTTTGATATGTAACTAATGGGCTCTACCACCAGAAATAAATCATTAAGTGCTCTGGTTCCTCGATAGCCAGCTGGAGGCTGGGCCTGACTTTGTGTGTCTTAAAGTCTTGCCCTCTGAATGTCAATCCACTTTGAAGTGTCTAAAATAATGTGTCCCAAAACAAACAAATTCTGATTAGAGACTTCTGAAAATGTTCAAATACAATAAATAAAATAGAATGCAGTTCTGCTAGGTAGACAGGCAGATTTTTTTTAACCATGCATTAAAATAAAATCTAATACCAAGAAAAAAAGGTAAAATAAGGCTTCTTCTATTTTAATGTGCAGGAGAAAGTAGGATTGAGGGCATGAAATATTTGAATAGAAATTTAACTGAACTTTGCATTAAATTTTTGAAGTCTCGGGAAGAAATTTATTATTCACTACATATTAACAGCACAGTTGGTTCCTGTTTTACTCATGAAACAGCAGTTATTCCTGTGAAAAAAGACTGCAGTTCTAAGAGAGAACCTCAACATAATATCCACTGTTAAATTATCCTTAAGCAGACTGCAGTTCTAAGAGAGAACCTCAACATAATATCCACTGTTGAATTATCCTTAAGCAACTTACTTAAGGAATATCTCAGTTATTCACAAAAAAACCTCTCCAGTACACAGAAAGCTCCAGTTCTGGATTTACTGTCAAGTCGTGCCTCAGATGGAATTCCCAGGGAAATCTGCAGGGTTTGTGGCATTTTGTAGGCTTCTTGGTGAAAATAAGAGAAAACATTGACCAGGGTGCAGTTTTAGAGACTGACCTCCCAGTGAGTGAATGGGGCAGTCTTCGAGGAAGCCATAGCATAGAAGAGGCTGAAAATCTATTCCCACTCTACCAAAATCAAGAGAAATATTGTTCTGGGATGACGGGAGGGTACAGGGGTCCTGTGGCTGTTGGAGCAGCCGTAGGGTGTAACCGAGCTGGTGTAGGTCATGGATTGTGGCACCTGAGTACAGGCAGAGAACTGATCTAAGCAGGAATATACATGTACATGGTAGAAGCTGGTTCTTGACATGGTTGGCGTTACAGACAAGCCAAAAAAAAGCACAATGACTTTGTTATGAATGGCATTTTACAAATCCTGACATGTTTGATTGGCTGAACTATACAGATAAATCATTTCAAGTCTGATTTACCATTAATTAATCTCCTTCTTTTCCACTTACACTGTGCATTCAATCGTGTTTTCTATTACAATTTAAAAGCATGGATTCAAATTACCTCAGTCAGAGCAGTTTAAACCGAATGACCATGTCATGACATTTATTTGAGAGATGTCAGTACGTTAGTTTGGCAGCAGGAAGGCCGTTCTGAATGGTGCTGAGCCTGGGACGAGTGTGCCCCGAGCCCCTGCCCTGGCTCTCCACACCGACAGGATGGCATTGCATGTTTGAGAGCAAATGCAGTGTCCCTCAGAGCATCTGACTTACCTTAGGTTTCTGTGGTGTCTGGAGTTGTCTTTGTATTTGGAAGTACACAAATCTGAATGAGTAGAACAGGCCTAGAGGGTATTTTCTTTAATATTATCTTTTTTTCTGTGTGACTCTGTCTGTGAAGCTCAGTATACAGAGTACAGAAGGCATGATGAGGGTGTCAGGAATGGATGTTCATAGCCAAGAGTTCCAGCCTTGGCTTCCTAACGATATCATGCGCCAAAAGAAATATTTAATAAGTATCATGTTTGCCCTATAAAACTACATAACACATTTTTTGGTCAACTGAATCCTCTTTTTTGACCCGCTTGATGTAATCAGTAGTCAAAGCTGTGTTTATTTGTGCAGTTTTGACTGGAGATACATCTGTGAAATCCTCTGAACATATAGGTAACCTGTCATGTAAAAGACATTGAATGATCAACACTTGTTTGTTATACGCTATATTTCTCTTCTTTTCTTTTGCAAAATTGACCTTCAAAGGACAAGACAGCTACTTGGCAGAAGGAAAGAAAAGATACTGCCTACTTTTAATTCTGAAAGACAGTATAGTTGTTGGTACATTCCTTCTCAAAAAACATTTGGAGACAGGTTATTGAAAAGAAGGCTATTATGGTCTCTCATGTTGCTGTAGTTGCCAAATAATGTTTTGGGGAAAATTACATCTGATGAAAATCAGCTGATGAAATTCAACAGGGGATGCAGGAACAGCATCTCCCATCCCATGTAAAAAATTATCTCCATCAATTCTAACACGTATTTAAGTGCCCAACTCCTGTTGAAGTTAGTGCATGATGGAAATTTCTTTATCTTTACGGATCTAAATCCACAAAATGAGAAATCATTCATGCCTGTCTAGAGCCAGTTCATTCCTGAATATTTATTACCTGTAAAATTGGTTTTCTTCCTACCCCCTTACCCCTTCAGGCAACATCTCCTGATGGGGGCTTGTTACAGGCAGGATGATGGAATTTGTTCTGCTATTGCTTCTGTTGTGATTTTTTTTTTTCTGATAAAAGACTTTGTGAGTAACAGGCAAGGAACAACAGTGGTGTGAGATGTTCCTTTTGGAAAAGATGGCATGGTGGGCCCCAGAATCCCTAACTTTGCAGTTAGAAAAAGCTATAACTTCCTATTTTTTACTTCGGAGTTATTTCTGACCCAAATAAAACCCCTGTGAGAACAAAAAAATACTCACCATGTCCACGAGATATTTAATGTCCACATTGCAGTCCTTAGAATAGTGAGTTTAACTTGGGAAGACAAGCTGGGGGACTCCATTGTTCTTCAATAAGGTGGAAGGAGGAATATTATAATGTGCAGTAAATTGGAGAAGACATACTGTGCCTTGCCCTGTGAAGGATGTCTGCCTCTGTGGCATAAAATCTTGCTCTGTATTCCAAGAAATGTCATTTAAAATGTAGAATGAGTGCACAGCAGGAATAATAAAATTGTCTGAGCATGTAAATTTTAAGCACTAAACATAATACAGAAACAAGAATATTTTTTCTGACAGAAACCAGTGACTAATGCAGATTTCTTCCTTAAAAATATTCGCTTCAGCTGGACATCAGTCTCTCAGCAGAAATTTTTGGAAAAATAAGACAATTCTCAGTAAAAAATTCTAAGAAAAGCAGTGCTTTACCTGGCTAATAAAACGGAATTGACAACCTTCGGAGGTGCACAGTCTCATTTGCAGTATAACTAGGGCAACATAACCATTTTCTTTTTTATGTATATAAATATGTATATATATTTCCTATTACTGTGATAATAGCCTTATACTAAGCCAAATGTGCTTATAAATTATTCCTAGCATCTTGTTTGAGTAGTATGTCTAGGCAAGTATGCCCCTCCTCCCCATCTGTTTGACTGATAATTTTCTCTGAGATCCTAAAAGGTGAAAACATTGAAGTTAAGTAGTCACATAGCTCTAATTGAGAACCCGCGGGTAGCTCTGTGTGTCGCTTCTTCCAGCACAAATCACACCAGCTACTGAGGAGATCCTCAAGTACAACTTATAATTCATAATGACTTATATTATCTTTTTAACTTGCATCCTTTTCTCTAACCTTCTCTTTTACTTCAGAGCTCTTAATGAGAAGGATTTTACAACCATAAACAATAATAGACTATCTAGAGAAAGGCTTTTTGCTGGTGCTCTTGACTCAGCCTGGTGCTTTTTTCTTTTTCTAGCCTGCACAGACAAAGAACTGAGGAGTCTGGCTTCGCGGCTAAAAGACTGGTTCGGGGCTCTGCACGAGGACGCGAATCGTGTCATCAAACCAACGAGCTCGGAGACGGCACAAGGCAGTAAGAAAACACCTTTCCCTGTTGAACGTTGAGTGTTGTGGGCACTGTCCCAGCCTGCCAGCGTGTTCATTGGAGCACAGCTGGTAGTGCCACAGTGTCATGTCAAGCAGGTGCCAGCAAGTAAAGCAGGGACGCGGGAGACCTGATCCTGCAGATAAAATAGCTGAACCGTTTTCTGAAGGAGCTGCAGTCCTTCTGTGCTCTCTCTGGCCCAAAATGTTCTAAAAACTGGCAGGCAGAGACAGAGAGATTGTACAAGTTAATCAGGCAAATAACAGTGTCTGAAGGGCAAGGAGGTCACATCTATACCAGTAAATAAAACTGCTCGGGGACTTTTCTCAAGCCCTGAGGTTAGCTAGCATGATATAGTTCGTGTCTGTACCATTAAACTCCGTGACCCTCCAAATCAGCGTGGCTGCATCCAAATCACTTCTTGGGGTTGGTCTGTGGGGTGTGCTCACCCCCCAGTTTATGGCCAAGCATTTCCTAAACCAACGTCAGTGGCATGAGCCAAAACCATGGCATAGAACCATAGGGAAAATTATGCCACTGTTGGAAAAGACTCACTTCAATTTTATTTTGCAATTTCCTGCTAACACCTTATGTAACAGAATAACACCCACATTGCAGCCATGGAGCTGGAATAGTTAAATGGTGTGGAAAGCTGGAATCTGTTGTGTCCCAGGTATTTAATAACACCATCTTTGCTTCCTTTGATGCTTTTTTTTTTTTTTTAAAGAAAAGGAGAAAATGAACAGTTTAGAGGACATTTACTCTCTGTGGGTTTAGCTAACATGACTGATTTTGATGTCATTTACCCACCAGGGAGGGGAAAGATTCAGATAACAGCATCAAAAGAGGTCATGTTCATCAGAGAGCAGATGCGAATTTATTTTCTGTAAGGACTCATTAATCCTTTTAAATAGTATGTCTCAAAACACGTGGGTCCCTGGGTTGCAAGGCAGGATGCACAAGTTTTATCTAGGTGTGTGACTCACCTTCACTTCATTGCCCTGATTTTCTGGTACAAGCTGCCTAAAGCCAGGCTTCGCACACACACAATTTAAAGAGTTCAATCAACTGCTCCTTTCTATGTCTCTTTTGCCCCCAGTGCTTAGTTTCCCTGTAGTGTGAGGCTGGAGAGGCCGAAGGTGCAGTAGAGCACATCCAGCACGTCAGGAGGAGCATTTGCTGTTGGTCCATGTCTCCACAGTCTTCTTCTGTGCTACTTTTGAGCTAGTGTAGCAATAGATTGCCTCTTCCGTAAGAGACGGAATATACCACAGGCTGTATTGCTCAAAACTGTAGTCAAACCTCATTAATGCCAAGTAATTATGTCTTAAAACTATGTGGTGAAACAGCCATGTTCTGTGCAAATGATCTTTTTCACATGTCCCTTACTTTCCACAGGATTTACTGCAAACTCAGTATCTTTAAAACCGTATGTCCTACTTATTTCTTAAATTGTGCTCCAGAAAAGGATGTTATCGTGCAGAGGGAGCCAAACCATAGTGCAAAAAGACAACTGGATGTACAGCTAATCATGGCTTCAAGATGTGAATTCATTTCAGACTCCACAGCAGAAAACACCAGGGACTTAAAACTTTGTCTGAAATCCTTTGGGCCCAGAACTGTGTGAAATCTCATTTCATCACACTGTCCAAAGGATGCTTTTCATGCAGGTGACCTCTGAGCTGCTCACAAGGAGCTTACCAAAGGCCAAAGACCAAATTTATTTCTAAAGGTGTTGGGTCTTTTTTTTTTTTTGCTGAAGCAATTTCAGTGAGAAAAACAAGAAAAACACTCCTGGTAATTCTGCAGTGTTTGCTCTGATTCAGAGAGGAGCTGTTATCTCTTTTTAGTTTAGTTTGATTCCTGGCAGCTTTTATATGAAAGGCTGCCTTGATGATCTTAAACACTTGATCTCATCAATGTTCATTTTTAGACTGTTGACTTAGTTTGGCACATTTTCCTATTTTCTTATATGTCAGTTGAAAACAAAAAAAAACTTTATGAGTTAAAATGCCTAAATTGTTTCTCAGTGCCACAAAACTTGGGCTTGTTTTTCTTTTTAAGGGTTTGCAACAGTATTCATGAATTAATCTGCATGTGCAAAAATTCTGAAGCTCCACTGAAAATGCACACAGAGTAAGGACAGCCAGTTTTGGCTTCCTCTGACTCCAACCTCAAACATTTGTAAAAAGAAAAGACATCTTAAACAGGCCTCAAAATTCAAAGTTCACATACCCAAGCTGAAAAAAAAAAAAAAGGTATGTGAATCCTGTCAAAGAGGAGAGACACGGCTCTGGAAATGTGCTCTGATGTAGACGTTGTCCTTCTTTTATTGCTCTGCATGTGTTGCCCTCCTCACCATCACTTCATTAAACTGCCTGGTTCAGTTATGCTTGTAGTGTCTTAAAAGGCATGCGCATCCTCAAAGAAATCCAGTTTGGGTCTGTCCCTGTAGCATTAAAGGGAACAGATGGTGGGATGCAATGACTAAGATGCCTCAGACACATCAGTTGTCTAGAGAAGGTGTTCCAGCAGGGATTTCTCTATTCTACATTAAATTTTCAAGATGTTACTGTGAGTGTAAATAAGCTTTTTGAGTGTATTAAGTTCACCCCCAGGTGAAGAAAAGAAGTACACTCTTTTTTTTTTTTCTCTTTTAACCGTCTTGAAAGGAGAGAGATGAGGGGAAGTCATTGTGTTTGAAATCTCAAACCTTCATTCAATGAGCTATCTGCCAGATCCCAGCAAAGCACCATAGGCCGGGAACTTTGTCTTCTGAAGGCTTTGTACAATTGAAATTCTTCAATAAATAATACAAGCAACTCAGGGACATGCTTTGACATAAGGAAATAATAAAACTAATTAGGTAGTAAGATCAGATTCAAATTGCTCCTGAGCCTGTTGATAATTCATAACATTCCCGTATTGTATCTAGATAGTCTCTTTGGTTGGTGTGGGAGTTATTTTTCTTTTACAAGAGACCTATGCAATATAAAGGATTTTTTTCTGGGGAACATTTCTTCTCCTCCTTCCTTTATTTTAAGTGATGGGGGAAATTAGGTTAATTATTCCCCTGTGGATTTAATTGTAGTATACTTTAATAAAATAAAACTGGCTCATGTAAGTCAACTCTTGAAGGGGGAAATAATTTTATGTGCCAGAAGGTATGTTTATTTTTAATTAGGATTTTCACTTAAAGACTTTTTTAAATTTAATTCCATTTTAATTCAGAGGAGGTGGAGCGTTTTATGTATTGATGGGATATGAGACTTTCACATGTAGGTCACCAGTTTGATTTCCTTCCAGATCTATAGTGAATGAAAATTGTTGGGATGCTGAACAGATGTCAGTCAGAATGAGAAACGTGATGGTCTCAACCCAGGTCCTTGTGAGCAGGTGTCCAAACCAGAGCAACCACCACCACAACTGACATTAATTGGCATCTGAGTTGGCAGCTTCTGCCAAGGAGCCAAGAGCAGGAGGGATATGGAGTCTGTCTCCACCCTTCCCTGTTTCTCTCCAAAGGCACCACAGGGCTGACCTGATGTACTGAAAGATGCAGAAAAGTTCTCCCCGAGGCTACTGTTACACCAGGTCTGTTTTGCTAGAAGTCCAGCTTATTAACCAAGCACTTAATCTATTACAGAACTACAGTATGTGGTTTATTTCATCCAACATATTGCATCATATTTCTAAGCAAGTATATCAAAAGACTCCAAAAAGGAGTTAATTCATTCAGCATCACTTGGCCTCACCAAGTTCATGGGAGCACAGTGATCTCCTGATGAAGGTAGGTGAGCTTCAAGAACCATTTTCCATCAGCTGCCCTGGTTACACACTAGGTCAGAGCCCACATTGCTCGCTCAGGGCACACTTTGCTTTCATTCCTCTTGCTGGGTGCCAAAGGCATCCAGGATTGCTGGTTTTGGGGCTGTAGATGCAGGGCTGCAAAAGGTGATTTACAGGCAGTAGCTTTTACCAGGAGACAATATGAAGTGGAGGTAGATACTACTATTTACCTTCAACCCCATACTAAGGGGCAATTAAAGAATTAACCTTTTCGCTGATAATAACCATCTAGCCTAAGGGTTTTGCATTGCACCTATCACTGTAGTATTTAAAGACTTCTAGACCACACTAATAATGCAGCACTGCTAAATAACACAGCATCTTAATAAACCCCATGTGGAACTCTGGTCACAACAGTGAAAGCTCCCTTGTTTATAAGAAATTACAGTCAAAACCTCTTCAACTAATGTAATTAACTGTCTTCGAAAGTGACCTTTCATGTTTGTATCTCGTATCCAAGCCCTGATGGTGTGAGAGCAGCTTCATATTCGCATCAGTCACTCTCTTGTGAGCTGCTCAGACAGCTCAATACTGAGGGCGTGCTGCTGTTGGATCCCTGTGTGCATGTTGTACACACAGATAAAGACTTCCCAGCAGGGAGGAAAACAAGACTCAGAAATAATCCACAGACACTCTTAGGGGCAAGTTCATGCCAGGATCTCCTCCTCGCTACGTTGATCCCTGCCAGTTAGGAGGTGACCTTCAGAGACCCTCAGGGCTGAGCAACAGACTGTTCTCAACTGATTGTACAACAGACCTTGTAGTTATTCTCTGTAACAGCAGCAAGTGCCACAACAGGGCATAAAGACCATCACCAGAGAGGGCATCTGGGCAGGAAAAGAGCAGCCAACGGAACCCAGCTGGTTTGTTGGGGTTTTTTTAACCCTGGAAATGGTTAAACTGGAATAGCTGAAGCATGTACTGATCCATGATCCACCCCTGCCTGTTTGACTACTTTTAACCCACCCTGTGGAGGGGAGTCGGGCACAGCTTCACACCCGCACAAGGCAGGACTGTGTGCCCTGCTCCTCTGCGCTTTGTGAAGGCAGACAAGGATTCTTAAATCCTTTCACTCAACAAGATGAATAAAATAACAGAAGTCAATAGTCCTAATTGCTTCAGCAAGGCAAGCAGGCTTCCTCCCTACATCTATTCACATGGCCTTTTGCTTTTTCACTCTCCTCAAACTCGATTAGATAAAGTTAGAGATAACAGCACAAAGATGTGATGAAATGTTCAGCATGATCTCTCTCTTCCCTGCCTGAGCTGCCGCTAGCCCTGAGGAAATGGTGTTACCTTCTTCCTTTCTTAGAGAAACATGTATTATGAATGACATAAACCTTCCCATTAGTTAACCCTTCTGATTGTTCCTCCATGTCACTGACAACCTTCAGCTGCAGTTGCATACAAAAAGCACAGCTTCCAGCACAAAGCACTGCCCTCCTTTGGATTAATGCTTAAAATAGCAGGTAGGCTGCAGAGCTTGGACAAACTGTCAGCGTGATTCCAGCAACATCTTAGGTTTCACTTTAACAAAGCAGCATCCTGAAATGGGACTTGACACTTGCAGCAAACAAGGCTGAGCTTGACCTCTTTCAATGAAAGATGCAGCAAAAGGAAAAAGCCTGGCAGGCTTCTCCACGTGACCCAGAGCAGAATGAGAAGGACACGGGCAGGTTATCGCACGCAGCTGAAACTGTGTGAGCACAAGGTGCCTGGGGTACGTGGTCCAGGTACCCTCTGTGCCTGTAAATCCCCAGCCAATGTATGCCTGTTTCTGAGTAGTTGTTGAGACCAATATTCATATTATCAGCTTTATTAGCTGTATGTTATAGATAACTTGGAAATTAGTCCATGTTTGTACCTATTTGAATATACAGTGACAACACGGATTTATTATGTCCTGTCTTGTTTGTGAAAGAAGGCAATGCCACTGTCAATGTGGAGACTGCAGGATACTGCAGCGTGCATCTCATATACATTGTGGGTATCTATATGTATGGCTTGGTCTTTCTGTGATACCGCTGCTGCTGCAGTCTTTTAAGGCTTTGGGCTATTAAAATGAATGATGATGATGGTCTCCAAAGTGCTGGGAGAGCAGAATCCTGTATTGCTGCACAATCCTGGAGGCCACAAGAGCGAACGCTGCTGCTATGGCGTACAAGAGCATGTGCAGCTCTCTGGAGCTCCTGGCTGAGGCAGTGCCATTCCTCATCCCTTCTCTCCCCCTGCCTGCCCCAGAACCCAGATCAAAGCATTTTGTTGTCCGGCACAGGAGGCAGGGCTTTGAAGAGTGAAAAGCTGAGATGAGAGGTGGAAGGTGAGAGCACAGTAGGAAAGAATTTGATCAAGGAACTAGAAACGGGTCTGGGAAACAGGATTTAAATTGCATTCAGACTCAGTCTAGTTTGAAAATGTGATGGCTGCAGCCTTTTCTCGTCACATTTCAGTTTCTTGGAACAAGGCCAACCCACTTGGACTGAGGACAGAAGAAAAAAATACGTGAGAATTTTTTGAGTAGAAATGATTTTGAATTGCAGTAATCAGCTATGAATCTTAGCCCTCCCCACCCCACAGCTCCTAAAGAGTGTGAGTAGTGCTCTAGTCTGCAGCAGTCTTTAAGTTTTACACAATCAGTTCAGTCTTAGAATTTTGTTCTGCTTTGGCCAAGTCAGTCTAATGTTCAGATTCCAGCCAAAAAATATTAGCAAGGCTTCAGCTTAGCGACGATTCCGTGCAAGGGAGGGTGCTGTCATTCAGCTGGGGATAATTTGCCTTTCTTCTTCTTACAGGATTTGACACCAGCATACTGCCAATCTGTAAGGATTCCTTAGGCTGGATGTTCAACAAGCTTGACATGAACTATGACCTGCTGCTGGATCCCTCGGAGATCAGCGCCATTTATCTGGATAAGTACGAGCCCTGCGTCAAGCCTCTCTTCAACTCCTGTGACTCCTTCAAAGATGGGAAGCTGTCGAACAACGAGTGGTGCTACTGCTTCCAGAAGCCTGGAGGTGAGTTGTGCAATTTTCAGTACAAAGAGAAGTTGTTTGGGTCTCCCTGTGTTTTATTTAAGTTTGCTTGCTATGCTTGTAGGGATAGTTTGGTAATTGGCAATCAACTGCGTTAAAAAGCTCTTTTCTCCAGCCCTGGTGTGAAAGGGCACTGTGTAACAATGTTTAATGTCACAGTATTAATATCCTTTGATCATTAAAACAAATGAAGTAGTAAGTGCCAGTGCACACAGTCTAGAAATAACTCTATTGCTGGTAGAAGACTCAAAAATGTACTCCTTTATTAAAGCAGAAAATTAATTAGCAAATCATAAATTTGAGAGAAAAATGTACTCCTTTATTAAAGCAGAAAATAGTCAATTAATTAGCAAATCATAAATTTGAGAACTGGCATTATGTCAGTTTGGTGAAAAGAGAGGAAAAATGGTTTAACAATGAAAATGGCCCCCAAACACTATTCTCAACTACGGTGTGTTGCTTTTTTTTTTTTAATTAGTGGAGCTAATGACATAAATTTGTTTTGCAGTACAGTACCAGCATATGGGCTTCTCTCGTTCCCAGGTGTACAGTAGTCTACATTTCATGTCAGTGGTGAAGCCAGTCATTACAGAGTCTGTCCCGTACCATCTGGAAACTGATTCTCATACATTATATTTTAGGTCTTCCTTGCCAGAATGAAATGAATAGAATTCAAAAGCTAAGTAGAGGGAAGAGTCTGTTGGGTAAGTTCGATTACTTGCTATTCATTTACTCAACTAATTAAAGCTTCTGTGATTATTGTAACTCTATATGCAGTAATGGTTTTTCAATTAGAGACTAATGTTTTGAGTCAGGAATATGCACCACGGAGTGTAGGCCTGACACTATGAAATTAAACAAATAATGAGATAGCAACATACAGAACAGGTGTCAGCGTGGCAGCAGGTTTGGAACTCATTTACAGCTCTCCAGAAATGCAAAGCCTTGTCTGCTCAGAGCTTAATGCTGCCTCCATCACCTCATAGGTCAGAGAAAGTACGGGGGTTGCCTTGACACTCAGGCCTCCCATTTTTGAAGGGTGACTGACGGTGCCACAGTGCAGAGCCATCGGGTTCACATCTTCTTCCAGCTATGGTGCACTGCATGCATTCCTCGGGGTTCAGTTTTGCCTAATCACCCTTTAAAATATTTCAGTATATTCTGTGTATATGAAAACAGGAATTCATATCATCTCATTCTAGCAGCCCTGCGGGATGCTCCGTGCTGTAGGATGTGATAATGGCTGTCCCTCTCTCTGCTGACTATTGGGAGCCTGAATTGATTGATAGCTTACACTGCTGTGATGGAGATCTAAAATTAGGTGAAAAAAATCCCCATGTGGCATTTTCCCATTTAATTGCTAAAAAAATCAGGTTGTTGAACTGATGTAGCTTAGCGTTTATGTGGTGGTATCTTGTTCAAACAGCTGTCCTAGTGCATTTGTGTACATAGAGCCAAATCACACAAGCCATACCAGCACAGGTTAAAGTCTCTGTTTACAGAAATCACTGCATTTCACCCTTGAAGAGTCTGGCTCAACTCAGACCCAGGCACGTCATCAAGAACCCATGTCGGGTTCTTACAGCATCTGTACAGCATGTTACAGCTGCAGCACAGAGCACACGTGTCAGCTCTGCTGCAGAGCTGCTCAGATTCAGGCTGCTTCTCAGCCTGCTCTCAGGGTCTAGTCTGATGTTTCCAGATGCTCGTTAGCAGACCCTGAAAACAGAGCTTCTGCAAAGCTCATCCTTGTCAAACCTGCCATTCCCAGATGCCACTGCCATTTGGAGGCAAGGTTCAGTACCTTATGAACAATCCCAACCTGGATTCATTGGTTTAAAAAAAGAATAAACGTTCCCAGAGGCAACAGGGACTATGGCTTAGTTCCGTCATCCTTTCATAGCAAGTTCACACAAAGATGAAGATGTTTCAGAGTTACAGCTCCTGCTGCTCGTAGCTGTAGGAGTGAAGGGAGGATTGATCACTGAGTTGTATGTGCTCCATTCAGTAAATATTTTGCATTTGTGTTCAAATACATGTTGTGGCAGAGGAAGTCATGGTGTTCTCTGTCTCATGGGTGTCATAATTTTCAAAGCCACCTAAAAGAATAAGAAGCCCAGTTCCTAATAGATAGCTTTGGCTATCCCATATTTATTTTACGCTTTGCTGTTATTTGCTATATGCAGTAAATGTCATCTAGGTTGAAACATAAGTGGTTTGTTCCAGTGTGCAGTGAAAAATGATGGCTGTGTTGCAGGTAGTACGACATGCAGGCGGTTGTAGCACACGTCACTGGGATCTGATCACAATAGCAGGAGGAAAATGACAAAGGAAAAGCAGTAAGAATGGTCCCTTACGAGAAATAACTCCTAGTCAACTGTATTAAAAAAAATGAAGGATGAAAGTGGCTAAGCTCAACAAATCAAGAAGTGTCAGGCATAGGTTGTTCCACAAGCTAGAAAATTATAATATAGAGAGGAACTCTTTGCTTCATCTACCTTGAAAGTCTGCCTGCATAATGGCACCTGTCTGCGAGATTTTAATCTGATCTCATGGCTATTTATACAGCAGAAAACATTGTCTTTTCACTGACTGAAAAGTCATGCAAATGGAAACCAAAACATACACGTGACAAAAAACAGACTTGTAGCAACAATAAAGTTTGAAAAGAGAGATGAATATTTTCAGAGAAACTAGCCTTTAATTATTCTTTTTCCTTCTCTGTCCCTGACACATAGAGCACAGCACTTACAGTCGGGACAGTACGCATGGAGAAGATTTCTGTTAACTCGTATCCATTGATAAACAGTGATGACTTTTGATATTTTGTTCTCTATATATTTTTCAAAACACATGACAGTTGCAACAAAGTACTTCAAAGCCATTGCCATTAGATATGTTGAATTTGGAGGCTTTCAAACACAGCCTAGCATCCCAGGGGACTGAATTAAAAAATAAACAGCACTATTCATCTTTTCCTACCAGATTTATCTAGAGTACAATTAACTGCAGAGAGTGTACTTTTAGAGCATACAACTGTGCAGCCTGATAATGTTTCTCCCACATCACTAAGGTAATAAATTTCTGCTCCTGTCACTATTTTCTTCTGTATCAGCCCTGTGAATTCAGCAAACATAATAGCTAATACAGGGAGCTGTGTGCCCGCTAGCACTTAATTCTGTCAGGCTTCTACCTGTGTGCTTCACTATCTTTAGCATATAATTATTCTCCCCATGTCCTGTGAGGAAGGGGAGTATTATATAGATAAGGAAATGATGCCCAAAAAAAAAGAGAGAGATATAGGTCTGGATGCATAAAGAGGATATAGATGCAACAGCGCTGTTCAAGTTTGCGTGAAATAATTAAATACTGCATGGGACAAAGAGAGGTGGGGGGAGCAGGGATCAGTAGCCTGAGGCAGCTCAGTGGGGAGTGACTAACATTTTGTAGTGCTTAACAGTAAAGCTGGTCCACCAGCGGTCCTCTCCACACTGTGGGGAAGCACAGTCTGTGCAAGAACCTCTGGAGAGGAAATCTGAACTCCTTTCTCCTTCCAAACCCTGCGGATGTTCTCTGATGCCAAACCAAATTACGGGGTGAAATGTTCCCTCTGAATGGGCTGTTGGATGCCGTGCTCCAGAATAGCAGAGCTTGTTGCCAGAGGTTGTTTCTAATGAACACAGGGAGGGATTTGTGTAGGGTTTGCAGGACAAACCATCGCGCTGTGCAACGCTTGCTCCCAGTGACTCTCTGTCCTCACCACGTTATCACCTGCACCTGACAGGTTGGAGAGGACATGCTGCAATCTTCCCTCTGATGGTTGGCAAACACTGTGACATTAGTATGCGTAGCTAAATACTTAAAGCTCCAGTGCTACATACAAATTGGCACAAATTTCCCATGCAGAAGGAAAAGTACCTTCTACTCTCCACCGTGACCCAAAGTGGGAATCCTTTCCCCACACAGTTATCTTGGCAGCAAGCCTGGGCCTTAATTTATTTTTAAATCTATGGCTTTTACAGGCAGGGTGGTACATTTTAATGCTTTAAAGAAATAAAGTGATACTATGCAAAAAGACCTGTTTCAAAGAAGGGAAAGCTTGCATTGCCCAAAGAAAAGAAAAACATGAGATAGTTTAAAATGCAGAGGCTGTTTTCTGCTCACCCTGTGATGCCACGGAGGTTCCACCTTTGATTCTTCCCTGGAGCCAGATGCTCATCTGATATAACAGGGGAGCTCTAATGACACGGGCACAGCTGTGCTGATTTACACCAGCTCAAAATCAGCACCTGAGCACTTTTCCCAAGGTTGTGTATAGTCTGATAAACACCTGGAGTGATCAACAGAGAGGAGACATGAGCATAAATGGGAAAAAAAAAAACCTTTCTCAATCAATATTGCAATAAAGGATTAATCACTGAGCATTAACTTACAAAAACCTGCAAAGGCGACTACATCTACATGGTTATTAGACCGATTTTTTTGTAAATAGTGAAAATGAGTCTTTGGCTTTATATTTGTACATGAACATAATGGTAGTACCTATAAGCAAACCTGATATAAAATCATGCTTTGAAATTATTTAAAATACTTTCAGTAATGGATGTGAAGTGGCCTCCAAAACTGATCCGATATACAAAGATTTCTGCAGATATTCAAAGGTTTCTGTTCTCATCTTCCAGAACTGCATTAGCAGCACCCAAACATTAGGCAAGATCTGCAGTGTGATGAGTTTGGAAATTCAAGTCTTTGCTTTATATAGATGTGTGTGTGTGAGATTGACTTCTGCTTTTTTGTCTTTTATATAGGAAATTTCACGGCAGTTGGGCAGCACCTTCTCATTCATTTTTTTCTGTGAAAAATGTAGTGGAAATAGCCCCTTTGACACATGAACTGTCTGAAGAGACTAGTTAAAAAACTTACTGTGTGACCAGTAAATCACCGGTGTCTTTGACAAAGGAGAAAAATAATTTCTCAAAAATCATTTGAGACAAGAAATTTGGGGGCAAGGGTGGGTTTCTGCCAAGTTTCAAATTGAAGCAATTGGCAAAGAAAGGAAAATGACAGTACTGACCTCCCCTGGGAATAAAGCTAGCTCATCTCAAAGGACAAGAGGGCTTTTCATATTGAAGTACGTTTGCTGTATCTGCTGAAAATGGTGGGAACAATAAAACAGGTTTCTCCCAAGTGCTTCCCTGTCTGCTGGAGCCAGAATGAACCACACTCTACAAGGCTGAGCTATATTGGTTTTATTGTGAGACAAATCTTGGGCTTCAAATCCAAAGACTTACTGACTTCAAATCCTGTTGCCCCTCTCTGTAAAGCTCATGTGTTACTTCTCCTTTTATACATGGGAGCTCTTAGTAAGTCAGAAGTTGTGCTTGAGATTAGTATGAATGGCAAGCAGATGGCAGATACCTTCCAGGGATAATTACAGTGTTGTGGAAAGACTTATATGATAAACACTGAAGGAGTGCAAATGGAAGAGAAATGCAGAATTAATGAAGTTGGGGTAATAATCCAGTTGGGAAGAAAAGTTTAAAACCAGGAGTTAGAATTGAAAGGGGCTCTGTGGGAATATTAATCATTCTGGGACAGACTGAACCTGTCTTCAGTACCGTATGCCATCACCCGCCACGAGCTATATATGCACAAACATTTTTGCACTGTGCAGTGACCAGGGTGGCTGAAAATAGTTAATCATCTATAATTTCTGCTCCCTTTTAGGTACCAGATAATCGCATGTATTTCCTTGCCAAGGTTGTAAAGATCTCCATGTAAATAAGTGACAAGTTCATAATACCCTATAGAGCTGCTTGCTCCTACAGAGGCTTGCATTACTGATTAGATCTCATATTTTATTCAGGTGCTTTCATCCCACGGTGCAATGAAGAAGGTTATTACAAAGCCACTCAGTGCCACGGCAGCACAGGGCAGTGCTGGTGCGTTGATAAGTACGGGAATGAGATAGCCGGCTCAAGAAAACAAGGGACAGTTAGTTGTGGTGAGTAATGATGTGCTTTCCTCAGACAACAAAGGAATTAACACTGTTGTAAGCCCTGCCGTTGCTGTACGATGGAGCATGATAACAAAAGTGACAAGAGGGAAACATGACTACCAGTGTTCAAAGTGCTCCTGTGTTTTCCTATTCAGACTACAAATAGGGCCCTTACATACACATTGGTCCTTTGGGCTAGGAGAGTGCCGCAGAAGTCAGCAGGCAATAGCCACTGGTAGGAAGATATTTTTGCTACCAGCCTGGAAATGTAGTAATTGAGATCAAAATTATGGCTATGGGATTGCTATGCATGGTTATTAAATATATTGTTCAGTGTACTTTGGAACACACATTTACTGGGGCTTCATGAATGATGTTTTCCAGATACAGGAAGGTGTACAAGTTTAAAATTTTATAAATTAACAACCAAGCCCTGCAGTATTGCTGACAGGACAATATTAATGTAGATATGTGAAATCACCAATTAGCTGTTTTACCTCAGCTGTTATATACGTATTATACCTATACGTATTCCTTCCGAGTGCTTCAGTGGTGGCTGTGGATTCAGCTTTCTTCTTGAAGAAGGAACAGAGAAAGCAGAGAACCCAGAAGGTCTGAGATGCCCAGAATCACATCACAGGTGTTAGGCTCAATAGCTACATTCATAGACCATGGTTTATGCACTCAAATAAAATCAATTTGTGGAGTACTTTTAGCCTGGCTTCCAGAGTTGGGATGAGATGAAAGTATTTACAAACGAGTAATGATTTTTCTGGCCTGCATGCCTGTGATCTGAAACTCCCCAGTCAAGTCTCTAGGAGGAGGGTGATGCATAGGTTTTTTATGCAAGTAAATTCTTCAGAGTAAATTGATATATATGTATTTATTCCAATTCAGGATGAACATTAAAATTTAGAGGTTGTTTGATTAATAGCTGAACCAATTAATTTTAAAAGTAACATCGCAAATGACAGTGGCTTGAATAACAAGGGTAGTGATGAACGAGGGGTTTGGTGTCATGTGAGGGAATGACCTTTCCTGCTCACCTGTTTCAGAAGAAGAGCAAGAAACCTCAGGGGATTTTGGCAGTGGTGGATCTGTTGTATTGTTGGATGATTTGGAAGAGGAGCCTGAAGCAGCTAAAAGAGACAAAGAAGGGAAACTGAAGATTCATGTAAGAGCAGCTAATGAAGATGATGAAGATGAAGATGATGATAAGGATGATGAAATTGGTTATATATGGTAGTGCCCATCATAATGAGGACTCACGTTTTGCACAATATTGCAAGTCATATCATATCTCTGCAATTGTATCTGAGAGTACCTGGCACAAATATTCCCTCTCTACTGAGTTTAATTTTGTATAGTCTATTTAATTTGGAAGACAAGGGTTTTTTTCCAGCAAGGACTGTTTGGAATACAGCTTTTGTTCAGTTGGTTCAGGGGATTTTTGTTCTAATCACAGGGGCAATGAGTTTTGTTTCAAAAACATTTCATGTCTTAATCCTCACTTGCACACCTTATGAAATATATCCTGTGAAAGAAGAATCGCAGAAGGGGCTCAAAAATCCAATACAAGGCTTAGAAGCCCTTCTCGTGTTAGAGAATTTGTGTCACAAATTCTTACCTGAATCACATCAGAAACAGTTATTTTTCTTTCCTGAAACAGGAAAAGTAGGTGCCTCATTTGCTAGTCCGTATTTGTTATGTTCCAGTAAAGAGTAAATCTCTTTGGATAGTGACCTGTGGCTGCCCCGCACCAGGGGTTTAATCCAGAAAGAAACCCACTGGCAGGATTTTCTCTTTACATTCTCTGAGAATGAGTCCAACAGTCTTAGTCCAGCCCTCACTGAAGGCAAAGCTCCCAGCAGAGGGTAGATCAGCTCACTGCCACTCTTGCTTTGGTTAAGGAACGTGGCCTTGATGTTACAAGATGCTGAGAATCTGCAGCTATCACGGACCAAGCCCTACAGGCAGGGAACAGAGTCCATCTGCCTTTCAAATTGTTTAAGGAAAGAGTGTTTTGTGAATCTGTAGCTTCATAACCACCCCCAGAGCTGCTCTGCAGCTTCTGTCTGAGCTCATTTGCACCAAGAGTTGCATTAACGTCGCTCAGGCAACCTCTGCTTCTGCTCACACACTATGGGTCTGCCCATTCTTCATTTACTCTCAGTAATCCCTCATTCCGAAGTTATAAAGCTGTCAAGGACACTAACCATCAAAAGTAATAAGCTGTCACTTCTTTAATTTAAATAGTTAATATTTATTTGACCCGGTTAAAAAAGCAACTTTAGGTGGTCATGTTTCAAAAGCATAACCCCTTTCCTCAGCATGACAAGTTGCACACTTATAATACAGACACATAAAAAAGAATAGTATTAAAATATAGTCTGTGATTCCCTCAGCATTTGCCATGTATTCATGGCTTTGCAATTATGTTACAGCATATTGACATTAACTTATTTGCTGCGTCCTTTCCCACTGCAGTTCTCGGATACAGTAAGGTACTGGGGTGACCTTTTATTATTTTCACTGTTTTCAGAAACAGTGAGAGGTACCTTAACCCCACTTTTGCAGTAGGATCCAGATATAAGTATTATTTTAGCAGTACCTGTGAGTTATTTTGCAGAATGAAAAACGTGCTTATTACACAGAAAACTAATCAGATGGAATACTTTTTTCCTCTGAGTTAGTGTTGGATACAGAGGTGGAGACATTACGGAGTCAAAACATGGCTGGTTACGTACTCACTCGGAAGCAGGAAAATATCATGCTGGTTGGCAGAAGTCAATTTTCTAGGGACAGTGGCCCAAGGGCTGTGGTCTTCAGCCATCTCCAAAGTCCATGTCCCCTGCGGAGCCTGACTCTGCAGCCCCTCTGCCCCTCGGTGTCAGCCTCTGCTTTCAGACGTGATCAGAAGAGCAACACTGAAGAGGAACTCCTTTCAGACACCACGTGTTGCAGGGGCTCAGTTGTTTTCTCCTCTTTCGTTTCCTATTTATCTCGATCAATGACCTGAGAACAAAGAGCAAGCCGGCATAATTGTTATTAATGCAGAAGGATGTGTAAAATCGTGAGGAATTTGTTGTGTGCTGTTTCACGCCCCCGCATCCTCCCAAAAATCTGTCATCACAGTCATTTGCAAAAGGCCTGCAATCCTCCCTTCCTCAAATCCCTTTGATTTTCCTATAGCTTTTGAAAATCTATTTTAAAATCTTTGTCCATGAGCTGCACAGCACGCACACACACACACACTTTTTTTACTTGCCTTTCATAGAAAATGATGATGACTTGCAAGAGGAACAGATACAAGCAACATTTCTGTTTCCTTAAATAGTATGATTTTGTGAGAAGCAATTGAACACCAACAGTAGCTTCTCAATCATTGTGGCTGGTTTCCTCCTGCTATTTTATTAATTAAAGCCATACTCTCTGGCTCTAGCTCTGCTGTCCTTGTGCAGGACCTGCCTGAGGCACAGAGATGCCATTTCACTCTGACATAGAACTGAGGTCCACAATCAGTAGAGTTGTGCTTATCCTCCTGACTGGACTCATTCTCCACACATAACTAGTTTTTTCTGCAGTTCTGTGTCCATTTGCCATGGCTTATCCTGAACTATGCCATACTTCAAAGGCCACATAGTCAATCCATTCTGCCCAGGACCACACTGGAGTAAAACCTGTCTAACCCAGTCCTTGCAGGCAGCTCCAGGGTCCAAATTGCAGCCCTTCTGCATCACGTGCAGCTATGCAAGATGGTTGAATAAAAGCTATTAAATAAGCCCTTAAAAATGAATGTGGACAGCCTTCAGCTTACATGAGCAGATATGCCACCACCATCCATTTCTCAACACCATTGATCTTCTCCCAGCTGTAACCTCTCACACACAACAATTCCAAACCAGAGCTGGCAGGTTTTACATCTTAAACTATAAAACAATTTCCATTGTCTCAAACTCACCAATTCAAATGTGCAGTGGGTACCAGTCAAACTGCCCCGTGCCCAGCACTGCACGGCTGGTTCAGCTGATCTCTGCCAGCATCTTTACCTCCACACAGAAACAAACACACTTACACATGTATATATTTCCCTTTTAAGACCACTGGCCTGGATTCAGGAAGACACCCCTAGCCAGGTGATCGTTCAGTCACCTGTTTCAGTTGTTCAAATGTTCTTCTGAATCAGGGCCACCATTAGAAAAATGTGAGTTTATTGAGTGGTTCGGTTGGGCACGACTACAAGAGCATTTAAAGCAAGTAGTGTCAAATGCCAAGGTGGCACAGCCCAGGCAGGAGGGGGGCAGGGGCTGTTGGGCTTGGAAGGGCAGCTCGGACTATGGATTGCTTTAAAAGCAAGTTTCCAAATCTTACAACGCTTTTTTTTTAGCAAAGCCCTTTGGTGATCCACTGGCATCCTCCTGTGGTTGTGGAATTTGCAGCCTATATATACATGTGTATATATATGTGTGTGTCTGTACATATATATTTATACACACATATGTGTGCGTGTCCAATTTTGCAAGCTGCATAAAGAAAATGTTTTATTTCTCTAAAAAACCCAGTCCCATCAAGCCCTTTCCATTCTTCATGCTTTGTAAAGGATTTAATTTGCTTCCAGCTTACTTTAATTTCTTCCTTTTTCTTTTCTTTCTTCTTTTTTTTTAAATAAGGCTTCCCATCTGCATCAAGTCACTGACCTTCCAAACATTTTCTCATTATGAAAAATGGAATCAGAGTTGTCCCATTCTTTTAGAAACACAAACCGATTTTTAATCTCATTTTCTTTTAATATTAGACACTATGAAATACTGTTAGGCATTGCTTTATGTTTCAAGGTGTCCTTTTAACTACTGTGGTTAAATCAAAATCTCCTTGAGTTCAGATTTCAGCACAGTTGGGTTTTTTGGGTCGTTACTGGCCTTTGCTGTGAACACAAAGAATCCTTTTCCTTTTCTTCGCCTTTTTTTAAGCTATTCTGTACTATTATTTTCAACCATTTGAAGTGTTTATTTAATATTTATTCTACAGTTTATATTGAAAATGTAAAGTTTATATTTAAAACAATACTGTTTGTTAGTGAATGCTTCTCTTTGCCTCTCCAGCCTAGTCTGTTAGTCTCAGTGTACATTTCTGGCATGGGAATATTTTGATATTAGAAGTTTTGTAGCATTTTTCCCCCTCAAGCAGCAAATGACATAGATCTAAGGTCACCACTTGATACAGACCACCAGATCGCTCAAGCTTAGCTTCCTACGTTTGTTGGCTTTTATTGCAGTCCCTTCTGTATGCCATTCAAGTTCCTTTAATACATAGACTGCTTTGTACAGTTACTATACATCAAAAAGCCCTTTCTACAGTAGGTGGGTTTTGGTCTTTTTATACTTTTCTCAATGCTGTTGATGTCTGTTCCTGTTAAATGTGTAGATCTGTAAGGAGAGATCCAAATATTACGTGTTTCAGTTTGATGTCCCTACTGTAGATGGATGTAGACTATCATAGTAAGTAGAATTGCATAGTAAATTCTGAATGCTTTTTCCATAAGGAGTTAAGTGGAATGTGAGCATTTTGCTATCTTTGGTTAACTGTAAATGCTTAACTGTAGTCTGAAATAGTTGCATTTTTGTCTGTCTCAATAAATTTTAATTTGTCTGCGACTCCTTATTGCCTGTCCTGAATTTTATTAAACTTTGGGGATCAAAAATACTGCAGTACCTTGAGTCAGCGTTTAATCATGCATGGAAATGGATGGTCTTTTATATTTGGTTTATACCTTATACCTCTGTTCAATGTCAGCTGTAATCTGTGAAGTTAATGTAAGGTCTCTAGAAAGCTATATTTTAAAAGCAGAAATGAAACCAACTGAAAGTAATAACTGTACCAAAATCAGAACTTTTCAAATTACATTAAAATTGATTTTTAAGGAACTAGCAGGGACGGGAAGCTTTCCTTTTTATTTTCTCCCCAGTTTGCAAATTGTGATGTTTTTCTGTCTCTTCTGAAGGTATCCAGGGCAGTTCTAGAAACACAGCCACATTTTACAGGGGCCATTATCTATAGTATAAATGAAGGCAAAATTATACTGAATACAATTGGTGGGAAGCCATTTTCACTTAGAAATACCTGGTTTTGTGTCTCTATTATTAAATTAGAGTTCCTCTTTAATATTATTAACTAATTTAAACAGCCAACATTATTACAGTGCTAATTACAGAGCTTAAAATGTTATTCCATCACCTTTCCTCTGATGTGCAATATTAAAGTACCACATAAAAGAATCTTATTTCCAAACTTATTTTCAAACATTTGTTTTCTTATTATGAACTTATTTTCAAACACTCGTGCAATTGGCATCTCATCAGGTAAGACTTTTGTAACTTGTCTGTCCATATGTGATTGGGTGAGTTCTGTCATCTATGGTCAGAACCTGCCTTAAATTTCTGTTAAATTAATGGTCCCTCCCAGTCCTACCTTCCTGCTTCGGTCACCGCTGTCTTTTAGACTCCTGTTTTGAGATATCCACTTTTGGGAATTCCTTCCATGCCTCACAGAAGGTTGAGGTGGTGTTTTATCACCCATACTATGCTAACCTTTTCTTGAACAACCTCCACTAAGCTATATACCGTGAATTGATACTTTAGTTTCATACATTAAAATACTCATAGGAGATTATTACGTCCCACCTGTCATGTCCTGATAAGCCACGTTGATTTATATTTAGCTTTTCTATGATTCTCTTCACTATTTTGGACAAGGATCTTGGGCTAATTTTCATTAACTCCTTGTTTCCCTGGTGGTACCAAAGAGTGTCTGCAGCTGAAATGTTGCTCCAGCAATGGTAAAAGGTCAGTTTGGGTTTGAGGGAAAATGGTCAGCATCTTACCTGGAGGACAGAGGAGTCCATACTCTGTACTTTGCACCCCCAGTAAAATCTGCCAGACCAGGCTGTACCTGGGGGGCACTGATACCTCTGCATGGAAAGGGACACACACAACAAAGTTACCCTTCACAAAGAAACAGCCTTTTTCTCCCCTGTTTTCCAATATATAAATATTTTCTGTATCTTACTGATATTATTGTGCTAATGATCTGTGAAACCTCCAGTGTGAGCTGCATGCATACACGCAGAGTCTTTTATTTTCTCTCTCTCACAAAATTTTCTGTTGAGCTCCACACCAGCTATAAAACAGTAGCATTACAGCCTTCACTGATGATTAGTTTCATTTTTCCTTAAATACTGACAGTCAAAGGGTGAGATATTAAAAAGAAAAATCATGTCACAACAGCTTTGCACACTGTACAGTTTTTTGAATAGATTAAAAAGAGGCAGAGAGCTATTAATAAGCTTTTGACTTTCTGAGCACTCCCGTCTTTGAAACTAGACCATCTTTTTTTTCAGAGGGGGTGGGGGAGGCCGAGTGAAGAGCAGGCTTTATGCAGCCTTGGAAAAAGGGGGGAAAAAAAAGCCAACCTCAGTGAAACAAATAGATTTAGGTAAGCTGTGAAAGAGAGGGACAGCCCACTGAGCACGGGCAGAGCACTCCCACCCACTGCTTTCAGGACAGAACCCACTTTTCTTCAGGGGAAAATTCCTGCTGGCTTGAGCAGCTCAGGATCAGCCCATCACAACCCACAAACTGCAGAGGCAGGTTCCTGCTACGTGCTGGGTTGGTCCTGTCCCCTGTGTGCAGTATCTAGTAACTGCTTCAAATGAATCCCTGAAAACTAGGATTTAAAAAAAAACAAAACACTAACCATGCGGTGGCACGCCGGGAGGAAGGGAAGAGCAAGGCCAGAAGCAAATTCAGGTTTTGCCAGCATTATATCAGCCCAGTAATGAGGCAGAGGTATGTAAAAAGCCCTAATGTGAGCATTGAATGGCTCTGCAGCCACCCGCCCAGCTGTAGCTGTGCAAGAAACCTCTCTGCTGACAACAGATTTAGAAAGAAAAACAGAGTCTGGCAGCTACTCATCTTGAGCATCAACTTCCTTCACGTATCACTATAAATTCCTGGAAGTCCACGCTAAAAGGTTGGGCAGAGAGAGAGTTTGGAAAGAAAATTTCAAATGCAGGTTCTTTGCCAGGTAGTAACTAACTGCCTTTTCTCATCTATATTTACTCAATAAAAATCATTGCTGGAGCATGACTCTGCTTCCATGCCCAGCCAATACATTTGCAATCTGGCCCTTAAACATGGGGAAAATCGACCCCAGAGCATATTGTTAGAGGAAAGGTCCAGAAGCACATTGGTTTATGCTTTGAAAACATATTACTGCTGAAATTATTTGCAGGTTTGGAGAGACTTGCAGGTTTTGACACTGATTTTTGTATGTTGAATATCACAAATCCAGTTAATGCAAATATATTCAGGTAAGAGTCTGTACAAGTAGGAATATACAGACACAGCTTTGCTCCATCACAGATGGTGTATCAATTTATCACAACTGGCAAAGAATTGACCTAAATAACTACTAGCCTAAAGTAAAATTAAATAAAATAGAGACTGTAACAAGATGTAGGTTTTCACAGATTAATGTAGGCTATTGAAATATTTCGGGTTACCAGGGGCTATTACAGAAGATCAATATTCCTGTTGCTTTTGGTACAAGTCACGTAAGAATCCGACACCTACCATGAGCCTTGGTGGCTGCTAGTGACACTGGTGCTGCATCTCACCTCCATGCTCACTGCAAGAGCTGCTGCCATAGCGAGAGGAGATGGGGTGCAAATAAATACATCTACTAAACTCCTCCCTCATCACATCACCCCTCGGCCAGCTTTGAAAGGTGGGCACTATTCAGTTTCCCCCCAAAGAAATTACCATAGTTTTGGGCAAGCAAGAGAGCACAATTTGGCTCAGGTGGCTGTAGTGGTAGAGACAAACATCAGGCTGGTTGTAAAATGACCCAAAATAACTCCAATATCCTCTCAGAGCAGGGTTGTTGTCCCAAGCCTGGTCCCAAGCCTGGTCTCAAACCCAGTTTCCATCCTCAGTTGAAATCGTTCTCTCCTAACTGATTCTTCTGTAGGGGGTGTGCGTGGGTGTGTGTCTCTTTTTTTTTTTTTTTAATTTTGTCCCCAAGCCTGGGAGTTAATTAAGTTTTAACAATGAGCTGCATCACTGTAGAACAGGATATCTGATTGCTCATCTGTTTTACATAATTGATTAATTAATAACCTTGCTAATTGAGTCTCATGAAATCCTCTGTTAAACAGGAGCAAGGCTTTGTCCCGAACCATTGCTTGTAGGGTTACATTAAAATCAGGACATTTTGGCTGCTCCATCTCCCTCAGGCTCTGTGGAGGAAGCCACAGCACAGCATTAACTCAACAGGTCTCTTGGGCTGCTGTAGAGAGGGCATAATCACAGAATATTCATGGTTGGAAGGGACCTTTGGGATCCCCGAGTCCAACAAAAAAAAAAAAAAAAAAACACACAAAAAACCACAACCCAAACTAACACACTCACACCCCACATCCACCCACAGACAGACAAAAAACAACAACCTTGGGCACTAGAGCATGCCCTGAAGTGCCACGTCTACATGTTTCTTAAATACCTCCAGGGATGGTGACTCCACCACCTCCCTGGGCAGGCTGTTCCAGTGCCTGACCACTCTCTCAGTAAAGTAATTCTTCCTAATATCTAATCTAAACCTCCCCTGCTGCAACTTCAGACCATTTCCTCTGCTCCTGTCATTATTCCCTTGGGAGAAGAGGCCAACCCCCACCTCTCTACAACCGCTTTTCAGATAGTTGTAGAGGGCAATGAGGTCCCCCCCTCAGCCTTCTCCAAAATAACACACCCAGAGTGTGGGGCACCACACTTGGGTTCAGCACCCAAAGTGGGTGAACCTTGTTTTCACCTGTACCCCCAAGATGTCAGAAGTTTTCTCCCACTGTCTGCTTTAACACCCCTTGTAGCAGCTCCTTGCAATTGTAAACACTGGGGCTGCCTCTCTCTTGCTTTACACCACCAGTCACCATTGCACAGACTGGTACAGCCCCACAGCCTGTTCCAGTTGACAACATTTTCCACCACTTTTGGTAATGTATGAGTGCAAACACAGCTGTAAAATAAAGTCACAGAGCAATCTTCCCCCCCACACTACCTGAAAAACCGCACCATGAGTTCTCAAAGGCACTGTGCTCGCCACGATGTGACCTACATCTTTTCTCGGGAGCAATCACAGCTGAAATAAGGCATAACGTGATGGATTCTGTGCTATTAAATGGAAGAGGACCATCCATGGAAATAACCACCGACAATAGTTTGCATTTTAATGTCATTTCTTTTCTTCTTATTACCCCTAGACATAGAGTGTGATGTATTTCTACCACGTGATATCGTCTAGAAGCCAGCAGCAAGGCGGAGAGGTGCTTTAAACACTGCTCCTGAGGGTGCTTCCCAAATGACCCTCAGTCTGAGCGAGCAGCAAGTATTTCCCTTCAAATCTGCCCACTAAGAAAATGTTTTCTCGGTCCGAACCCACTTGGATCTTACTAGATGTAAACCCACAACAACTTCACCAAACCCTCGGGGGTTTAGTCCACCCACGGAGGGCAGGTGAGCAGGGACCTGCCTGCTGCGCTCTGGGCGATGAGTTGAAGACATCCTAAGACAAAGCAACCAGATTCTGAAAGAGCAAACAAAGG